GGGGGGGGGGCAATTTTTTTTTTTTTTTTTTTTTTTTTTTTAGTAATGGGGTCTTGCTCTGTTACCCAGGCTGAAGTGCAGTGGTGCAGTCATAGTTCGCTGCAGCCTTGAATTCCTGGGCTTAAGCGATAGGGGAGGGCAGCTCTGACTGAAGAGGATTTGAGTTATGGCCTGGAAAGATAACCCAAAAGCAAGTAGCATCTAATAAGTATGAGGCAGGGATGAACATACTTGCAAATATGCAGATACAGTCACCACATCGCTTATGGTCTGAGAAATGTCCATTATATTTAGGAAAAAAATTTTTTTTTTTAAAAAAGCATTTTTACTTTATAATCTTAAATTAAAAAAAAACTTTTTGACTATTTTCTGATAACACTTAACACACAAACACAGTGGAGAATTGAATGTCCCGAGAGATCAGATTGCTGTCAGACATGGCCATGGGCATGGACATGAACATGGTCATAGTAAAATGGAACTTCTAGACTATAAACAATGGAAGATAGAAGGGACACCATTAGAAACTGCCCAGAAAAAGCTGGCTGCACAGGGACTGAGGGACCCATGGGGACGCAATGCAGCTTGGAGATACATGGGTGGCTTTGTGAACAATGTTTCCTTTTTTGGTGCATTATTAAAAGGATTCAAATGGGGATTTGCTGCGTTTGTGGTAGCTGTAGGGGCTGAATATTACCTGATGTCCCAGAATAAAGATGAGAAGCATCACTGAAGATATTACCTGCAAGGATCTTAGTGGCTTCTTAACTCTCCGAAATAATATTTCTTCACTGCAACCTACTTGTCTATGTGTTTGATCCTTCAAGAATATTAGTAAGAGTTAACAAAGAAAAACATACACAAAAAACAAACACAAACACAATGTATAGTTGTATGAAAATACTCTCTTTATATCCTTATTCTAGAAACTTTTTTCTATTCAAAACATTTTTTAATTCATTTTTTACTTTCCAGGATCAATGACACAAACATTTGTTAGTCTAGTCCTACATAAGGTCAGGTGACTCAAGATGTCACTAGGTGATAGGAATTTTTCAGCCCCATAATAATCTTATGGGATTATAATCCATGGATCTGTCATTTATTGAAATGTTATACATCACATGACTGATATATATATATACACACACATATATGTACACATTGTATATGTTATATATAGAGATTATATATGTAAATGTAAGATTCATAAGCATCTGTAGAACTATTATTATTATTATTATCATCTAGAAAGCAGGATTTGCTGAGAGGACAGAAAATCTCCCACAGTGGGAGGGGACCTGAAGGGGTTGCCCTATTATTGTTATTATTATTATTCTTGAGTCAGAGTCTCACTCTGTCTTCCAGACTGGAGTGCTGTGGTAAAATCACAACTGACTGCAGCCTCGACCTCCTAGGCTCAGATGATCCTTCCGCCTCAGCCTCCTGAGTAGCTGGGACTACAGGCCCAGCTAATTTTTTGATTTTTTGTAAAGACGAGGTCTTGCTATGTTGCCCATGCTAATTTCAAACTCTTGGGCTCAAACAATTCTCCCACCTTGGCCTCCCAAAGTGTTGGGATTATAGGCATGAGACACGGTACTTGGCCTAGAGCAATTATTAAAATGTAAAAGCTTCATGAAGGTGAAAACCTTGCTGTCTGTTTACTTCTTTATGCCCAGAATGTGGAAGAGCACCTGGCTCCTAGTAGGTATTTGGTCATTATTCATTGAATAATGATTATTATGAATCTTCATAAATAATGATAAAAATAAAATACTACTAAGTATCATTAAAAGTGGGGCAATGAGCCCTGTGAGCTTCCTGATACGATGAAATTTGATATGCAAAGCACTATCTGTAAAATACCATTGTCAAAGTAATTGAACATGAATCTAATCAAGGATTTACAGCTAAGTTCCAGTTTACAGAAAATAGAGGGAAAGAGGGACAAGTTAAACCATACCTCAAGGAAGCAAAAGACGCATTTAGAATATGGGACATTGTATAGGACAATCTATCTAGTTTCTGTAACATGCCAATGCCGAAGGGGATAAAAGGAGCGGTTTAAGAGACATAACAACTCAACATAATGTGTGGGCCTTGTTTGGATTATGATTGAAACATAGTAACTATAAAAAGAGATCTTGGAAACAAGTGTGGAAATTCATCGACTCATATTAGATGACACCAAAAAACTATTGTTAATTTTATTAAATATGATAATAACCTTATGGTTACATAAGAAAGTGTTCATATTTTTTAGAGATGCATATTGAAGCATATAGAAGTAAAACGATATGTTGTCTCAGATTTGATTTAAAATATTTCAGCAAGTTGGGCTTGGTGGCTCAGCCTGTAATCCCGCGCCTTTGGGAGGCTGAGGTGAGTGCATTGCCTGAGCCCACGGGTTCGAGACCCGCCTGGGCAACTTGGCAAGACCTCATCTCTACAATGAATCAAAAAATTAGCTGGGCGTGGTAGTCTGTGCCTGTATTTCCAGCTACTTGGAAGGCTGAGGCGGAAGGATCGCCGGAGCCCAGCAGGTCGAGGCTGCGGTGGCCGGGAGCGGCCACTGCACTCTCCAGTCTGGGTGACAGAGTGAGACTCCAACTCAAAAAATATATATATATATATTTTTTAAATACTTCAGCAAAGAAAAACAAAAAGAAAAAGGAATAGATGATACAATGGCAAAATCTTGGTAATTTTTGAGTGTGGGTGATGTGTATATGGGGGCTCATCATCTATTCTATTTTTTTGTGTTGAAATTTATCATTAAAAAAGGAAGAGAATAGAGTATGTTTCAGTTTTTTTTTTTTAAAGGGCTGAGTCTGAAGCTTGCTATTTAAGATTTGCCAATACTATGTCCAAACTTACATGGAAAGGTCATCTTGTCGCCTTGTGGGACAAGGTGAAATGGTGGAAAGAGCACTGTCTTCAAAGTCAAACAAATGTGGTCTAAATCTTAGCTATACTCCAAGGTCCTGAGGAGGAGGGATCATAACTGTAGTAAAGATGGCCAGGTCAAAGATGTGTCTGGTTTCTGACATCTGTGTGTGTGTGTGTGTGTGTGTGTGTGTGTGTGTGTGTGTGTGTGTGTGTGTGTGTACTTGAGGCGAGCTGTGTCAAGTCTGGAGCAATCACATATTCTGTCTATATCGTGGTCTTGTTTTAGTATTTCATCAGTCATAATGACTGTCTTGTCCACAGATTATCTTAAAAGAAGATTGTTGAAACATAGTTGAACGTTTAGAATTGTTGAAAAGTTATCACCTTTGGAGATTATGTGCTGGAGGCATGTGTGCAATCTCTCTTCTCTTCCTAGTTAGGAGTAGTATGGCTTGAACTGAGGCTGGAGAGGTGGGTAGGAACCAGATCATACAGGACATTGGAGGCTTTGCTAAGGAATTTTCAAAACATAGGCAAGTAATCCAAGGATTTTAAACAGGATGCTAGTTTTGTATTTTGCAATGACTGGCTAAAGTGTGGAGAACAGATTGGAAGGGACCAGTGTGGGTGTACTTGACCCTGCTTGGAGGGCATTGCCATGGTTCATGTGGGAGACAGTGGGTTGGGATAGAAGATAGTAGGGGGAAGGATGGAGGGGAGTAGATGATCTGAGAGACACTGAAGAGGTAACATGGTCAGGACTTGGTGATAATGTTGAATATGATAGAGTGAAAAGGTGATGCTCAATATGGTAGGTTTCTGATCTACCATATTGAATGGGTGGTGGATGAATTCACTCAGGAATTCCTGGAGGAAGACCGAGTTTTGAAGAGTGAAAGGATTATTATTTGTTTTGGGGCATGCTGAATTTGACTTTGAGTTGTCTTTGAGACATACAAGAAGTGATGTCAACAATGCAGTTCAATGTCAACGTCAAGACTTTGTCTACTAGTTTGATAGAAGAAGTTAGTTCACCTTGGACATATCCATGTAACTGGGTTACTGCTACAGCATATGTAAGCATTTCACAGCTATAATACCCGTGGGTAGCAAGGACTCATATAAACCAATATAAAGCTTTGTTTTATTTGTTTCACAAATGAGCAGGTTCATTTTTACAGGAAAGTAGTTACCTTTCTCCTGCTTTTATTTTTTATTGCAAATGTGGAGGAATTCTGGCAGTAGCTGAGACTTTTTTGAGCCAAGTCTGCCTTTTATTTTCTCCTGTCATTACAATTTCTCTTTTTCAGGAAGTGAATTTGCCAGTTACCTATTAGATCAACTTTCCATTGAAGGAGGTTGCTTTGGAATCACAATCTAGCAGCATCTAACCAGGAATGCCTCTCTTTACCCCATTAGAGAAAGCCACTAGAGAGCTGTTAAAATTATCTTAGGAGTCAGGTCCCAAGTACATTTTACTATAAAGCAGAATGAGGTGAGCTGGGTGGGGGAGAGGGAGTGGTAGTGGTAGTAAGTATGCTACTTTAAATCTCATTTTTTAAAAAGTCTGTGAAATATTGCTTCTGGAAATGATTTGGTCTCTTAAAGAGCTGTAACTCCCTCAGAGTCTTTAGGAAACTTGGATATGTCCTGTGGTTAATTGATTTAGTTTTGATTAACCTCCCAGAGAGCTATTTGAATAATCCTGTTTTTTTTTTTGGTTTTTTTTGGTGGGAGGGTCCCGGTCCTACTGTCATCTAGGATGGAGTGCACTGGAACGATCATGGCTCACTGCAGCCTTGACTTCCAGGGCTCAGGTGATTCTTCTGCCACAGCCTCCCAAGTAGCTGGGACTACAGGCATACATCACCATGCCTGGCTAATTTTTTGATTTTTTTTTTTTTTGTAGAGACGAGGTCTCACTATGTTGCCTCAAACTCTCCTGGGCTCAAGCAGTCCTCCCACCTCAGTCTTCCAGAATGCTGGGATTACAGGTGTGAGTTACCATGCCTAGCCTATAATACTGTTCTTTCAGCTGAAAAGATAAACTGATGGTGCATGAATTCTTTTGATGACATTTTGAGAGTTTATCACAATATATGTGTGTTCACTTTTCCTTAGTTTTGCAGGTCAATATGTGGTTGTCAGTACATAGAAATTACCAAAGCACCACTTTGATTTATCAAATTCTTTCTCCAGAGAACCTCAGCATAATTTCCCGTGTATGATTTCATTAGAATTTATATCATATTTCTATTGGTGAACTAGGGAGAGGCAAAAGCTGTTATTCCCATTTTCAGATAAGGTAAAGAGTGACCCACACAGTTAGTAAATATCAGAATCAGGAGTAAAACACAGGTATTTTCATTTCTGTCCTAACAAGGGAAAGAGAAGGAAAGAAAGGAAGATTAAGGATAAAGGAAGGAGTAGAAGGAAGAGCAGCACAGAAAAAGTAAAATGAGTTTGTTTACTTATTTCTTCAAGAAGCTTTTTTTTTTGAGTCTCACTCTGTGCCTAGACTGGAATGCAGTGGCCGCTCCCCGCCACCGCAGCCTCCAGCGATCCTTCCGCCTCAGCCTTCCAAGTAGCTGGAACTACAGGCACGCGCTACCACGCTCAGCTAATTTTTTGATTTATTGTAGAGATGAGGTCT